AAGTGGAAATAAACTCAAAACCAAAATTGTATTATATTGCTGCTTACCTATCAGTAGGTGGTTGCATTCATTTTCTTTTCTTTGGATTTTTTTCTCTATTTTCACCTGGGGATCTGGCCAGTAACAGACCTCTTGTTTTAGAGTGCTTCTATTATGGATGAAGGAGCACAGGGGGCACATCAGACAGCAGCATTATTATCAGTCTGGGGTCAGGGAAGTGTCAGATGGATTAGTAGATTTAAAAATTCCAACACATTGAAGCCAAACTCCAGCTCACACTTTATAATCAGTAAGCATTTTCTTTCCTTCTGGAATAAGGGTTTTACATAAATAAATAAATAAAAGCTAATCATTTTAAGCTCCCCAGCCAATGTTAAGTGGTTTGTATCATCCATGTAAACTGATATATTCTGCTGGAGAGCTGGTGCTTTTGAAAAACAGACTTGCTGGCTGGATAACCAGGTGAAAATAGAAGAGAGCTTTAAAATGAAAACTAATACAGCCATCACATCTAAGAATTGGTAAGCTGCAATACAATTAATGTTTGCTTTTGGGTTTAATACTGCTTTAAGACAGTTTGTGCCTCATCATTGCCGTCCGTATTATTATATATTACCAGAAAGGCAAAGGCACACATATTTTTATTCCACAGAAGAAAATATTTGTATCTGATCTTTTCAACTCCACACGCCACAGAAATCCCACTGGTAAGTTTGTTTGTATCTGGCTGTTGACATAGTTCCTACCCTTAGGCTACACCTTTATGACATGTTTCACCCATCCCAGGGTTTATTCATGGAGGCCATATATGACCTCTATGGTTAAAAAGACCTAGGAGGGCTGAAACCTGTTAGGGATATGTGGAACAAGAGTGGAGTCTGCGTCAACAGCCAGCTACGCACAATAAACTTACCAGTGGGAGTTCAATTTTTGCCATACGTATGGAGCTAAATGAGCTTCTAAGACATGCACCCGGAGAAGCGGACTTCCTGAGAGGCTGTTTTAGGGGCTTGGAGTGGTGTAGTCTTTGTTTTGGAATTTTACAATGGCTTGTATTAGGGCTCATTCACACTGGTGTTCTTAAAAAAGGGAAGTGTTTGCATGTAGGGATGCACAGGTGTTCTGTACATCCATGTGCAAGCAACTATGTCCATGCATCAACGATAGCTGCAAGCTATCACAGCCGGGTGCCCACACTGAAGATACCGGCCTCCTGGAATACAGGACAGCCGGTGAAATGGGCTGCAGGGGACACACGCGCGGGACCGAGAGACAGGTAAGTGGCTGTTTTTTAAAAGTCAGCAGCTACAGTTTTTGTAGCTGCTGACTTTTATTTTTTGATGGCGTGAGTGGAACTCCGTTTAAGGCTGCCAATGTGAACTACAGTGAACTGTAAAAAGTGGCAAATCTGATAGGCTGACCAGATATCGACAGGAGGGTCAAGCAAATGTTGGATAACTGTCAGTGAAGAGTAATTAGAAGAGGTCCCAAAGTATAATTTGAAATTTCCCAATGTCCAGGAGACAATCAAGGTGCTTGCTAGTAGTACCTAACATATACGCTAGATCTCTCAGGATAGGAATCAAAGGAAAGGGGTGCGGAGAAATGTCCAGTAAAGAAAAGGTGGGAATATCACCTTGAGCATAGCTCCTATGGTTGGGTGCGCAGCGAGAGATGACACATGAGTAGAAGGGAGACAGATTTGGTCTGGGCCTAAGTGCTCCAGCTAACCACCTGGGTGAGATGCAATGTTGTGTAAAAGAAAAAGACATCTGGCAAGCTAATCTCCCCTGCTGTTTGGGAAGTTTCAAAAGAGAGTGGTGTATAGGGGGTCATTTGGCACCCCAACTAATCAAAGAAATATCAGTCATAGAAAATTAAAGAATGAGGTAGGGATCGAAATGAGGAAGAATCTGGATCAAGTACAATATCTGGGGTAGGGTCGTCATTTTAAAAGTATTACACCTCCCAAACCATGTAATGTTTAAAACCTGCCATTTATGTAGGTCCGAGGCTATTTGAGTCAGCAAGGGATGAAAATTGGCCTCAAACAAATGATCAGGGTTTGGGGTGAGCTCAATGCCCAGATATGTAATGCAATTGGAAGCCCAGAGAAAGGGGAAGGATTTTTATTTCAGTTTAAGGCAGAACCCCTATCCATTGCCAATGTTCAGTGCTTCGGATTTAAAATAGTTTATCCAGGGTGCCATAATGGTGAAATATAGACATCAGATTACGAAGGGGGACTTCATGGTTCAAGACGACAAAAAGAAGGTCATCTGCACAGGCCATAACTTTGTGGTGTCTAGGCTTACCCTGAAGCCCATTGATATTTGTCTGTGCTCTAATAAAATATATTAGAAGTTCTAGGGTAAGTACAGAGATCAAGGGAGTGAGGGGGAAGCCCTACCTAGTACCATTGGATAATTCAAAGTATTCTGAAAAGGTTTTATTAATTTAAACTGCTACCTGTGGGGAGAAGTAGAGGACTGAAATCCAGGCAAGCATATGGGTACCCAGACTTTTTTCTGTCTTAAACAAAGCCATTGTTTACTGCACTTCCACAAATATAAATTAATCTAGGTTGTAACACACCTAGAAAGCAAATATGATACTTTTCACAACTGGCTTTTTAAACAATTTTTTTTAAATGTGGATTTAACATTAATGTTTTAACCATGAGGCTGCTCAAATGGGCAAACAGTTTGAAACGAAGTAAAGATCAGGTTTTTTCAGTGTTGACCTCTCTGTAGATTTGTTCACCCCCTTCCTCTTTCCTTTTTTAAGCTGTCTCCTACCTTGACTTTAACACCACTATGCTCTGACCACTTGTAGACTATATGTTGCACACATATGAGACTCTGTTAATACTTAATAAGCAACCAGTTGTGCATTATTAAATGAAGAGTACTGTGTGTTTCATTATAGATTAAACAGCAGTCACACTTTTCTTTTTGTTAGGTTTTTATATAGAAAAAGAGATTCAAAAGCAAAGGCACAAACCTACGTCTATAGCACCTGTTGTCCATTCCCAGAACAATTACTTCTGTGCTCCTCAGCTTCTAAGAAAATCCCATCAATATGAGCGTTGATATGTGAGGTAAAACCTGAATTGAGAATGGTGAGACTGAATTTTAGTAATGTATTCATTAATAATTTTTTCTAACTAGTGTAAGTACTTGAATGTGACTTGATATTAACCCATAAAGCAAAACTCAGACTGGAAGAGGAAGGGGCAGACTGGTGTGCTGCAATCAAACGTCTTATCAAGGAACATGCTGATAGAACCAGAGAACAAAGTGAGCAGAGCAATGTCCTCAAGATCCTGCTGTTACTTTTTTTACTGTTCAGTCAACTGAAAGAGAATACAACTTTATCCTCTCCTTTTTGCCATTTATTATGTACTATGCTTGTAGCAGAGTAAAGCCCCTTATTAGTTAGCCCCCCAGTTTTAGTGGTGTAGCCCTTGTCACTGAGGTGAGGTAGGAGCAGGTACTTAAGGGAGGTGTGATCAGAGCATGAAGGTCAATGGGAGAGTAGGATAAAAGAAAAGGGCAGAATGTTGGGCACGGAACAGCTGCTCATGTTTTTGCCTTCATGGAAAACTGAGTCAGTCAGGTCCATAGAAGGGAATACAGTGAAGAACTACCACCATACAAGACAAAGATAGAATCATACGTACTGCAGCACCTCTCATGTGACACTCAACAATGGGACGAGTTATGAAACAGTTTAAAATACGTATTATTATTATAATTTTTTTTTGTATATACGTGTTTATACAGCACAGACATTTTACATAGAGCTTAACACAGGCGTCCTCCAACTTTTTAAACAGGGGGCCAGTTCACTGTCCCTCAGACCGTTGGAGGGCCGGACTATAGTTTAAAAAAAAAAAACTATGTACAAATGCAGACACAGTACAGGAGATGACCAGAGACTGTGGACATACAACGGCGGCGGGAATACTGGGCCGGCCGCTCCATAAGACACACAGACATTTCCCCCCAAGTGTGTCTTATGGAGCGAAATAGTGCCCCATCATTGGTGTCAGTGGGAGGAATAGTGCCCCATCATTGGTGTCAGTGGGAAGAATCGTGCCCCATCATTAGTGTCAGTGGGAGGAATAGTGCCCCATCATTGGTGTCAGTGGGAAGAAATGTGCCCCATCATTGGTGTCAGTGGGAGGAATAGTGCCCCATCATTGGTGTCAGTGGGAGGAATAGTGCCCCATCATTAGTGTCAGTGGGGGGGGGGGGGGGGAATAGTGCCCCATTGTTGGTGTCAGTGGGGGGAGGAATAGTGCCCCATCGTTGGTGTCAGTGTGGGGGGGGGGAATAGTGCCGTGTCAGTGGGGGGGAAGGGGGGTAGTGTCCCAACATTGGTGTCAGTGGGAGGAATAGTGTCCCATCATTGGTGTCAGTGGGAGGAATAGTGTCCCATCATTGGTGTCAATGGGAAGAATAGTGCCCCATCATTGGTGTCAGTAGGGGGGGATAGTGTCCCAACATTGGTGTCAGTGGGAGGAATGGTACCCCATCATTGGTGTCAGTGGGGGAAGGAACAGTGTTCCAACATTGGTGTCAGTGGGAGGAATGGTACCCCATCATTGGTGTCAGTGGGGAAGGAATAGTGTTCCATCGTTGGTGTCAGTGGGGGGTGGAATAGTGCTCCATCGTTGGTGTCAGTGGGGGAGGGAATAGTGTCCCATCATTGGTGTCAGTGGGAGGAATAATGCCCCATCATTAGTATCAGTGACACCAATGATGGGGCACTATTCCTCCCACTGACACCAATGACACTTAACCTGCTGACCCCTGCTCCAGCATGGTGCTGCTGCAGCCGGCATACCTGGTTGCAGCAGCACCATCTGCACGGCTCACTTACCTGTCAGCTGTCCTTCTTCACTCCGGCCTCTCCCTCACTTGATGTTCGCGGGGTCGCTCTGCTCCGCCTCCTCATAGGTGATTGGCCGCCTGTGTACCTTTCCTGAGCTACAGATCTGCCGCCCAATCACCGGTGAGGAGGCAGAGCTGAGCGGCAGCGCGAACATCAAGTGAGGGAGTGGCCGGAGTGAATGAAGGAGCAGCGCTTCCTGGACTGGATCGTCGTGGGACTGGGACCAGAGCCAGGTAAGATATAGCAGCCCCCTGCCTGCCCCTTACTTAGTTTAGTGTCCCTTCCTTGTGGCAAATATGCCCCTGCCGGGGGGCCAGATGAGTGGGCTCGGCGGGCCGCATGTGGCCCGCGGGCCGTAGTTTGAGGACCCCTGGCTTAACATATTGTACATTCCCATAAGTCCCTTCCCTCTAGGTGCTTACAGTCTAAGGTTCCTCACATGTTTATACTGTATATGTAGGGTTAAGACCAGATGGGCCCCTGCAATGTTTTAATTTTGCTGCACACCTGAAGATGACACACCCCACTCACCCAACACCTACCAACACACCTTGAGATATTCCAAAGAATTTATTAGGCTAAAAATAGCCTAAAAGAAAACAGGATTAGCAAGAGTATTTATACAAACAATCAATAAAGCAATAACATTACTCTGAGATAATTGTGTGGTCACGCAACGCTGGGCCCAAATGAAATTTATATACTTTTTTCACATGAATAGGGCTTTAATTTGGTGGTATTTGATCAACTCCTTTTTATTATTTTTTATTGTATAAAAGAAAAAAGACTGAAAATTAAAATAATTTTGAAAAAAAAAAGTTTTACTTTCTGATATAAAAAATATCTAATAAAAAATCTAGTGTCTTTATAAATTTAGGACAAAATGTATTCTGCTACATGTCTATGGTAAAATAAAAATTCCCAATAAGTGATCAGCGATTTATTGTGGGACTGTGATAGTGCGGAAGGCAATCTGACACTGACGCTAGCTGGGAGGTACACTAACTTACTATCTGATATTGACATCACCAGTGATACTAATACAGTGATTAATGACAATACTGTACATTGTCACTGTACTAATGACACTAGCTGGGAAGGGGTTAACATCTCGGGGTAGTCAAGAGGTTAAGTGTATGCCTAACAAGTGTTAATGTGTGTACTATGTGCTGCTTTTTGCTAAATATCTGTTTGTTCCATCTCCTTCTCTAACCAATCAACATTTTTCTTTTTAGTTTCCGAATCTGGAATGTTGCTAATATGAAAATGAGCAGTTTAGCTAAACAAGAGTCCAAGAATAACTTGCCTTGAATTAAGGTCATTGGCAGTTAATGAGATTCATGTTGTGTCCATGTCATCCTGAGATGGAGGCATAGGCACACACTGTTCTCAGTTGTTTTTTGTTTTTGTTTTTTTCATTTTCTGTCCTGTATAGGTTGCTGTTATGGGTTTTTATCCATGTTTTTTTTATATGGAATCTGTTATGTTTCCAGTCTAGCAGTAAGTACTCTCTACCTGTGTTCTTGAGACACATACAGAAGCAGCAGAAATAACTACTCAGCAGGTCAGTGGAAAGTCAAACGCCTAGATCTGCAAACTTGTTCTGAGCCAGAAGCCATTAGACCAGCCTGACAGCCTGATAGTTAAAAGAGATCCAGAACCAGTTTACTTCTAGACTAACTGAAGCCCAGTTTCATTCAACATCTTCCTGTGATTGCCAACATGTCAGGGACCCAATCCCAGGGAGTACATCATTCAGTCATCTGAGACTCTCAGAAAAATGCTGCAGAGATGCCTGAAGCATGTAGGTCTCACCTAAAGGTGGAGGAAGCAGAAAGGAAGAAGACCCATAACATCCCGTGAACCAACTGTAGACAGCTGGAAAAAGAGGCTTCCATGAAAACTTATTTTTAAATATGAGGAGGTGCTCCAAATAGTGATAGGTAAAGTTCGCGTTGGGCTTTAAACTTGGCATTAGGGAAATGTGGGCATTTTCATTACTGCCCTCCTTATGAAAATTATAGTTGACTGGTTGTTATGCTGACTTACTTAGTTCAATACTTTTTAGGTCAATGGCTCAAAATAAACAGTAAACAGATAAAAGTAAAATACTTAACTATATAATTGTTCTAGGTCAGTGACCCAAATAATTGCAGTAATGACAGTCTGACAGAGTACTTTCAGACGTAGGTGACAACAGTGGCAGCCTTTAAAGCTGTAGTAAAGTTTGCTTTTTATCTTGCACCTACAGGTAAGTTGTCAGGACCTGTGTCATTACTTGGGTCACCTGCTGGTGGCACTGTTGTTCTCAGAGTCACAAGGCATCTGCTCAAGCCTGTCTAGGGAGTACCATCCATCCTTTGGACAGACTGCCTCATTCAACCAAGTGAGGCCCCCGTAATGTTTTCCAAGCCACCCTGTATCCAGCCTAACCTCAACAGTATGTCACCTGCTATCCAGCTACTGGTTCTCTGTCCACCATCCAGTTTAGTTCCATATACTCTTTGCTGGTTAATCAAAACTGACCTCACTGATCCACTAACCATTGGTCAGCCTGATGGCATGCTGCCTACTAATGGGATCTAGTCCCCCTCTTTACTGCCTGTCAATGGGGTTCAACCTGCCTCTATGCTTGCCGGCGGACTTCAGTCTGCTGTTGTGCCCTTCTGTTCACTTCCAAATCTGTCTCTGATGATCTGCTATCCTTTGCCTGTTGCCCAGCTTGTAGGTCTTGTGTCTGGTGTTCAGTCAGATGATCCTGTTCCTGATGCCCAGCCTGAGGGTCTTGTTCCTGATACCAAGCTTGGTGGTCCTGTTCCTGATGCCCAGTCTGGTGGTCTTGTTCCTGATTTCCAGTTGGAGGGTCCTTTCTCTAATGCCCAGCCAGAGGGTCCCATGCCTATTGACCCTCCTGCTTCTGAACATCCTGTGCCCAATGACCCTCCTGCTTCTGACAGTCCTGTGTCCACCAACCTGCCTGCCTCTGATGGTCCTGAAACTCGTGACCCGCCTGACCTTGCTGATCCTGTGCCTGCTAAAACAGCCAGAGGATCCTATACCTGCTGCTCAGCCTGATGGTCCTGTTTCTGCTGCCCAGCCTGATGGTGCCATGCCTGCTCCATAGTTATTGGTCCTGTTCCTGCTGGCCAGCCTAATGGTCCTTTTCCTGCTGCCCGGTTTGCCTCTGATACTCCTTTGCTCGTTGACTAGTCTGCCACCGATGCTCCTGTGCTCGCTGTCCAGCTAGTCTTCGGTACCAGAGTCTAATCCGTTGTTGGGTCTAATTTTACTGTGCTTCCAAGCTTGTTGCATGCCTGGCATGGGTTACCCACTCAGTATACGATCCTGATTGCTGCCCCTCCTGAGTCCCTCTTGCAGCTATTTGTTGTACCAAGGCTTGATAGTCTGCATACCCACTTTGGAAGTAAGAACTGCATTCCCCAGTCCAGCCCCATAAACAGAAGCCTTCTGGGAAAGGGCAGAGTTCCATCTGAGCCTTGCCCTGACCTAGGTGCTATCTCTGCAATCCCAGGTGCATTAGGGGACCCTTGCTGGGTAACCAATGCCTTGGGTAGACCTTTGTGGCTGTTGGAGGGTGGAGCAGTTTCTGTCAAACCAGATGTGGAAGGACCGGGTGTGATGGGAAAACCTGGCATCAGGGTATTTGCATGGACCAGGGATTCTGATGTTGGACCTTCAGCTGGCCTTAGGGGTCCCAGCATTGGGACATGTGCTGCATTGGGGGCGTGTAAATTTCGGATGTTGCGCCTCTTTAGAGATCCAACCTGTAGGGAACTCAGACAGCTTTCAGGGTATCAACTTCCAGACTCTGGTGGTGGGGCAAATGACCAATTACCAGACCCGGGTGGCATGCCATTCAGCAGGTTAAGACTCTAGCCTAAAGAGTGCAAGAAAGTCATCAGACACTAAGGGGAAAGCTTTTTGGACTTATCTTGCACCCACAGGGTTAAAGGCAGAATGGAACATCATATAACTTCAAATATAACTTCAAACCTTCCTGCCTTATTCCCTCTCATTCCTAGATAGGCTTCAGCTTCAGATACTGTATGTACTCTGATACCTAAACATTTGTCCAAAATCCTGGTCCCTTGCCAATAGCCAATTTCACCCGTGTCCTAACTGCTGTTGTGGTTTTCCCTCCCAAACCTTCTACTTCTCCTTTGTGATGGGGAAAGATTTCCTTGCTTAAGTGTAACTTCAGCTCCAGTATCAACTAAAGCATCTTATGTGTAGGAGAAGATGACTTCCCCCACCATACAGCGACAGGTGCATATGAATGTTGGTCTCCTGCTGTCACTATCCTCACTGCTATGACAGGAGACCCACCTTCCATTCATAAAGGATAAGGAACCTCCCAGTCCCCCTTTCTGAGTCTCTCTAACTCCTCCCCAAGATAAAAGGATTTGGGTTTAGGTTCATGTGCAGTTTTGAGAAATGGTTTGAGGCTAACAGGAAGGAGCTGTTGTGTTTCCTCTAAATCTATGCTGATGTTATTTTCACTAGGAGTAGTGTTTCTAATAATGACAGTTTTCCCCAATAACTCTTTCTACCTATTCAGCAATCATGCAGCAGAAATCCCATCAATATCATTTTCAGGTACTCCTGCCATTAATAGGTCCACCCACAATTGTTTCCTAGTGATAACTAGCCCGGTTTTCTCTTCTGTCCTCTGTCGTCTCTCCCACGTTCCCTTTTCTTCTCTGTTCTTTTCTGCTTGTTTTCTTCCTGTCTGGCATTGACCTTATCTACTTCCCTGACTGTTTTTTTTTTGTTTCTGTGACAGAAATATTTATTAAAAATCTCCCTCAAGAAATCTGTGAAGCTTGATGAATTCCACTGTTTCAGACTATTGGAATATGGTATGAGTTTTTTCTTATGATGGACAGATTATACAAGTGAAAGCAAACACCTGAAAGATAGCATGTGTATTGTACTTCGTGTATTCAGGGTTGGATGTGCCAAGTTGTCTGTGGTGGGACCCTGGTTGTGTGGGTGCTTGGCTGTCTATCTTCATACATTTCTTGAGGGAGATTGTTGATAAATATTTCTGTCCCATTTCTCCCCCCTCAAAAGTAAACTAACCAGGTCCCAGACCTCCACCTGGTCTGGA